GTTATTCATCAAAAGTATTGAACTTATCTTGATTATTCAGAGCTGGTGAATTGACTAACGAGGAATTAGAACGTATAGTCACAATTATACAAAATCCTGTACAATATAAAATTCCAAATTGGTTCTTGAATCGACAAAAAGATATTTTTGATGGCAAATACTCGCAAATTCTTGCAAATGGTCTTGAAAGCAAACTCCGTGAAGATTTGGAACGTCTAAAAAAGATTCGTGCACATCGTGGTCTGCGTCATTATTGGGGTCTCCGTGTGCGTGGTCAACATACAAAGACTACTGGTCGACGTGGTCGAACTGTTGGTGTGTCGAAAAAGAAGGGTAAATATTTTTTTATATATATTTTGACATATTTCCTATTTAGTGCTTTGCCTATTGTTCGTGAGGTTGAGAGTAGTATGATGATTTTCCACAAAAATAATTTCCTTTATCTACATTGCCTGAATATAACCATCTGTAGAGAAATTGAATCTGATCAATCGTTATTTATTCATTTCTTTTGTTTTATTGCATATCTATAAATTAACATCATATTCTCTTTCTAATTTACAGGTTAAAGTTAAAATCGGTGTCGGTGAAAACAAGTTTATGTTTTTACATTCTTCAACGTTAAATAATAGTTTGGCAAAAATATATTTTTTATTTATCGTAATTAACGTACACAAATAAACAATAAAAAATTATCTCCTCGTTAACCTTTTTATTCACGTTCATAATTGATCTTCTGTTATGTTTCCTGTGATATTATAAAGCTCTTTTGCGGTCAAACCCCGCAAATTAAACCCTTTCATCTTTTCCGTTTCTCCAGTCTCCAGTTTCTCCAATTGTGCTGTTTTCTCTTTGATCGAATTTCTGACGACTTCAATTTCATGGTCTAGATTTGTTTGATCTGATTTTGCATAATTGTATTGATAAATATTATACAGCATACGACGATATATAATTTATAATGTACATAGTCCCGAAAAACGCGAATAATTTGAGCACGCGTACCTTTCTCAATTAAGGTCTTTACCTTAGGTGCTTCCATCCTAATAAAAAGATCACCAAGGTTCACCCATAGTTTTTTCTCATCCTTCAATTCTTTCTTAAGTTTATTTAGCGCTTCACGATTTGTGTTTCGTTTTCTGTCATAATCTACTACCTGTGAATAATTTCCAAATCAAGAAAGAAAATTATAAAATTTCACCGAAAAAATGTAATGGCAATCTACTAACAAGTTGTTGGTTAGTGAGAATGTCTTCAGCTATGCGTTCACGTTCTTCCAAGACTAACGTTTTGGAAAACAAATATTAATTCTATAAACTATTGATGATTTCAATAAAAATTATTAAAATTACTTGGTAACAAATCCATTGCAGACGTCGTTTGGGGAAGATCATCTAATTGGAAATTACGCAATTAATAAAAAAATTAAAAAAATTTAGATTGTTCTCGAATCGATTAATTTAAAATATGGTGAGTTTGCGATTAGTTTTTTAATAAGTAACATATTATTAATTTGGTTTTTAAAAAATTCATTCTTTTACTCTCTCAGGCTCGTAATGAAGAGAAAGCTCAGTAAGCAAGTTTTCTAGTTACTTAAATCAAGTCCAACTAAAGTTTATCGAAAAATGTTTTTTTTTGTCATTTTATTAAGATCCATGCTATATCGTTTCCGTGAGGCACAAGCTGCGGAACTTGGCCTCTTAAAACCTAAAGAACGTCGGCCTTATTTAGCATCCGACTGCACTAACGTAAGAGAGGCTGAAAAATGGCGACAACAAATCCTTAGGGAGATATCACGCAAAGTGTCAAAAATACAAGATGGTATAGTTATCAAATGATTTATTTTTATGCCTCAACATAA